AAGACAGACGCATCACAAGTCTCACAGGACATGCAGTATGCACGAGGTGAAGATGGGGAGCTGTTGTTCGAGCCTAGCGAATTGAGGAGTGCAAAGCAGATCAGTAGTTACTTTGCGAGGCTGTCAGCTGCACAGAGACGTCGAGAAAGCCCAGACTCTGTCACCCATAAGGACATTGAATCTTTGGAAGTGGAAACGGAGTGGCAGACATTGCGTGACAAAAAATATCAGAACATTGCCTACAGCCATCCTCTTATGTTTGAAAGCATAAATATATGTGAGGCTGCAAAGACAAGGTGTCTCAAAACATTCCAGCTGAAAGAACTCCGAAATATCAAAGAACATTTCCATCTGCCTGTGACAGGTACAGTGTCAAGGAAAGCCTCATGCATACTTTAGGACCATTGGAAAGCATTGTTCAGTCCTGTTCATGTGTAAACTAGTTTATGTATGTTCTTGGTGCTCTATGACGTACTAAAGTGTATGTATTGTAAGAACTAAGGCTCTAACAGCAGTTATACGTATATCGTGAATGCCAAAGTGGCATTTTAAACTTGTTGTCTTGTTTATCAACTGATTCTTTGTCATTAGTGTTCAAGTATCTTTTGTTGTCTAGAAATGGGGTGATTTTATTCTTTTGATATAAAAATGAGAAAGTTTTAGGTGTACAAGGCATTTAGGTCCTAAAAGGTATTGAGTGTCTCTGCCCTACTAACACAGAGACAGGTTTGTTTTAATGTTAATGTTATGGATTGCATTATTGATGTGCAACTGGATTTAACAAGGAATTTGTATGAGAAGGGGAAAGTAGATGAAATCATGTACAACTAATCTATGTGCTATCTTAAGAATATCTATGACTCCCTTGCAGAGCCCGTTTTTGTCTCTTTAACGTAGTTATTATATTCTTATCGTCATATATACTTCTTATTGACCAGTTGAAGTATTTGATTTTAAACAGTTTTTACAGTTTTTAAATACGTCATGGAATATCATCATGGCGTTTTATTACCCCCAAAATGGAATCCTTTTTTATTGTAAATGGCAAATTTTATGTACAGTTAATGCAAAAGCTTACCTTTTAGCTGATGAACAGATTAAATAAAGCATTTAGGTGTAAACTGTCTAAACGTGTTTCTAAGCTTTCACCGCCCAGCTATCAAAACATGTTACATGACTAGTGTCCTCCTAACCCCCATACAGAGCCTCCGATCATTGAGGCCTTCCTAGATAATAGCTATTAATGCCACTGTATTTCAATAATCAATCCAGCAAAAAAAGTATCGACA